AAATAGGTAAGGTAACAGGGGGTGTGTAAGCTGAAGCTGACGGATTTAAGGGTGTTGAAACCAAAGGTTCAGTGCGAATTGTGTGAGAAAAATTGGTTAAGGGGAGTTACCATGAAGCGCAAGAGGAGACATTAACAGCTCCCTCATCGTTGCAGCTCCCTGATAAGTGTAAGCTGGAGTATTAGCTCGAAGAACACCAGCTGAAAATGCAGTGCTGGAGCTCGACCCAGATCCGATTTGGTATGAAAAAACAGGAGATCTAGAATTTAGGGGTTGTTTGACTTGATTCCCTAAAGCCATTTTCCCAACCACCTCTTCCACCTTCTAAAATGAAGCAGCATTTTGGATTCAAAAGAGGTCTGCCTGTCATCCACTTTTGCCAATTTGGTGTTGGTTTTAGCTGCAAAATTCGAAAACTGAGTCTCTAGTGATTTTAACCCTTCTTCAACAGAAGGATTTCATTCAGGATCTCCCATCTTTCACTGTCAAGACCGAAATTCTTATACCAATGTAACCCTTTTTGGATTTTTTCAATAAATAATCAATTGAAAGCAATAAAACAATAAAGAGAAAAATAGAGAAAAAATTTAGGATTTATTCATGGCTGAGCTCAATACAGAATATTCTCAAAGTTATAACCCTCCTAAAACAGTAAAGTGGGGCCAACCCTATATTGAGTAGACACTTAGCTAATTTCTAGAAAGATCTAATAGCCACGGCTGGCACTTTAAGGAAAACAGAAAAACATACTAATGGACTAAATCGACTATTGGGCTTTAACTAAAGTGGGCCTTAGAAAGGACCCAATATTCCGGCCCAAACGTAACAACTAAGAGATCCAATACGGTTCTTCTTCAACCTCCAATTTGATAATAAGCGATTTAGCAACACATTTTTATCCCTTTTCGCTATACTCTTTTTGGTGACTGCTCGGATATATGATGCTTTCTTGTTAGTAACATCATAAATCAAAGATGAGGATAGTATTATGAAGCCAAACGTGAGGGAAAGTCTCTGAAATATCTTTTATTGATTTGTTCTGCACTTAAATTCATGGTTCTTCACTAATAGATTCAAGTAACAAGAAATCGAAAATCTGCTACGTATATTGACACCAAAAAAGAACCTTCTCGTGTTTGTCACACAACCCTAAAGCTTAAGGTTTCGTCAAACGTGAGGCTTTCTTTTTCTTGTTTTCTGTATGTTGACGAATATTACGGATTTTGCAACCGGCGAAAAAGGGGTAAAAGGGCATCAATCCAATGAGCACTTGAACAATTGGACCATCTGGTACTCAAGCCCAAGCTAACTTCCATGTAAAAAAAAAGAAATAAAGAAAATATTAATAAAAAATAATATATATTTGTGCAAAAATAATAATATTAAGAAGGTAGATGTTATTTGTAGATTTGGTTCCACCACCTTTTGTTGGCTATAAACGAATGCACACCAAATATCGCGGATTTACTTTTTTTAAATTTCATACCAAGTAAAATAAATCACTTTATGCAGTGAGTTCGGTTTGGTTTTTGATTTGGTTTGATTTTTCGAGTTTCCTTGTGCACCCCTATCTACAATATTGTTAAGCTTAATTAGAAAAGGCGAAGACAATTGATTTTTTATAATTAGTGACTCAATTGCTTTGAATAAATTTATCTCTTTGTAAGGGTACTTTAAAATTTATGCTTTGAGCAATAATAATATGGACTCCAAAACAATGAAGGTTTTGCAAATTTGAATTAAGGAAGTTTTCAATTGTTACCCGAAGAAATTCTCCCGCCAGAAATTGTTTTGGATTCAAACTACAAATTCTCCCTTCTAGAATAATAATAATATACATACTTATTATGTGCTTATCGTTTAGACTAGTATCTATGAACGTGCGTTGCACGTTAATAATGGCACGTGATGGTTTAAACTTTTATTTATATGAAGAAACAATAAAATTTAATTAATGAAAGAAATTTTATGTATAATAATACAACAATCATCTAAATGGTATTATTACATTAGCATAATACGTAAATTCAAAAAAAAAGGGCATCATCAGAACTTACACAAATGATCAATTTAGTCATGTTAGTTAGATAATTATGTATTATTGTTTAAACGTATTTAATATGATGGATTTTTTTTCACCAAACAGTTCATTGATATCCAATATATCTGTAGAACTCCAAGCAAACATGCGTTGCACAATATTCCCGGTCAATCGTACAAAATTTAAGGTTAGNTATCCTCTTAATAATTTTTAATTTAAAAATGATGTCCTAAGTATACATTTCCTCTTTTGTTACCCAAATGGAAAATCATGTTAAGACAAATAATTCAATATTAGGGATTGAGCCGTGAGCATATGTTGTAAAAGTATTAAAAAATATTAGTCATTTTTAGTGTAGGAAGTCAAATTCTTGCGAACACGTTTGGTTGCACGTTATTCAATCAAATTTCTACAACAATTATAGAAAATAAGAAGTTTCATTTATCAAAGGGTAACACTTTATAATATTTCTATCCACAATAAAAATAGAATATGATAAAAATTATGCTCCTCCTAAAACAAATTTGCAACTCTTTCATTTACTATTCTATTATAACGATAGCATTAGTGGCTAATTTTTTTTTATTTCTAAATGTCTAAAGTAATAATACTATTAGAAATTAATTTATTTATTATAGTGATCACAAAGAATAAGCTATGATATTTAAAATATATATTCCTTCCATCTCCATAAATTTTTTTCTCACTTAATGGTAGTCTTTTTCATATGCATTAGGAAGAATTTCAACTATTTTTATATTCTTTCAACATAAATTATATATTTACCTGCAAAAAATAATCAATCAACTTTATGAGTTAATTTTGTTCTTTCTTATCCTCTTCTCTTATTTTGTAAGTATATCCATAGTGATTCACTTCCTTTGTTATGGACAATTATGCTATATAATTTGCTTATACTGTTTAATTTTTACTTAAAAGGTATGATGGAAAAAGAAGAAAAAGGTTAAGATTCTAATTTAATTAAAACAAATAATATAAAATCCAGAAAATTAAAGAATTTGACCTTAATCGAAACTGAAACATGAAGAGACAAGTCATATTGACGGGTATTATAAATAGATATTACACAAAAGTATAGTAAATAAATAAAAAAATTTAGATTCTATTTTAGTGAGCATGACTCATTCGTTCTCTCTAAACTCTAGATCGCACGTTTAACACTTTTAATTTCTTCCCACCTCATAGAGTAACTATGTTTACATGTAAAATAGAAAATAAAAGTATGCCATATCTACAAATTATAACTAAAAAGTTAAACTCACCTTAAAATCTGCAAGATAAAATAAAAGAGTGCAATGTTGCAGATGAAAACTCAATATTTTAGCACCACAAGAATTTGCTTTCCGCAACATAAGTTTTAGCAATATTATCAATTGCATATTTGCACAAAATTGTATGGTAGTTGCTTTCATTTGATCTTGTACCTAATCTTCATGAGTCTGTTCACAGTTTTTACGATATACAAGTAATTTTTGTTTACTGAATATAAAGGACAGAGAATTCAACGACCTATCTCTAAACCTTTCATTTAGTTTTTTAACTAAATAATCATGTCTCTAAACAAAATAAAGAATACCTACATATTTTGCGTTTCTCGGTAGAACAAATTTGTTCCTTCTTAAATTAAATAATACTTCTTGAAAAGCTATTTTCTTTTGTATTTAAAGATTTTTGTATTGAAAAATTGTATTCCATCTTAATGAGAACTTGTCTTGTTTATTTAATTTATATTTTATTATTTGACGAAAAATTGCTTCCTTATTGAAGAGTTCTTTTTCCTCCTCGTTTTTTTTTTTTTTGTTCAATATTACACTGATTTACTAAAGTAGTAAACATAACAATGACTTACCAGTTGCAACTTAAATTTTAGAATAGACCAAATTAAGATATTAATTAAAAAGAAAAGAATATAAAAAATAAAAGGGACATCTTGTTTTGTGCTTTAACTTTTAAATAAATTTTATACTCTCTATGCATGGATATATGACATATTATATCCTTTTTTCTATTTGTTACTTTTTACTTTTAGTTGCTTAAAAGTACCATA